CAAACATTGCAGGGGTAAGTCTGCTTGAGCAAATACTTTCTGTGCGAGAGAAAAAAACAACAACAAATAAGGTCACTTGATTATGGTTTGGAAAAACAGATAAAAAGATGAGGTTTTTCCCCACCATATCTATAGAAACTTTGATCAAATAGAAACTTGGATAGGGACTGAGGTGCAGACAGGTACATAGATGCAGTATGCAGGATCTAACCTAGTGGTTTGAGCAATGCGTTGGGTCCTGGAGGTTCTGAGTTCAAGTGCCACACACTCCAGGTTCCTGATCCTGGACTGCCACTCTGGTGACTGATCAAGGGAGGTGCAAACTGGCAGGCCATGGATCCCCAAGGGGATGGGTTAAATGCAGAGAGTGAATTTCCCCATTGTGGGACAATAAAGGAACATATTATTCTCACATTATTGTGAGAATTTGATTAAATTGATAAGACATGAGGAAGAACCAGTAGTCAGAACAACAATCAACAAAAACAAACATTGAGTAATTTAAATATGAGTGGGAAGTTACAGGCTATATGGAAAAAAGGATCAAAGGAGAGTGCAATCGCAAAGAAAAACCCAAACCCCAATATCTAAGGATCATAAGAACAATTTTATTTGGCACTCTTTACTTAAATTAAGATTCAATATATATTATTGAAATAGAAATTAATATACATGCCAACAGCCTTAATATACATGACAAGCTGATAAAGTTAATAAATCAGTTGTCTTCAGTTAAATGCAATACAAATAAGGTGCATATACTGCTGTAAAGATGTGTTTACTCCCCTGGAGATTTGCTCTGGGTTTTTTATTGCATACTAAAGCTTAGTTTTTCTGAGAATTCAGTTTTACTACAAGGAAAAGATAATAGTAGCAGTAACTGCAAAAAGAAGGATTCTTTTGCTCAGGAATAAGGATCTAAAACATAATATCTGCACCTTGGTTGAATTTATGGGTGTTTTTTTTATCCTTTTATGTATTTTTTTTTTCTGTACACTGGATGAAAAGATGTAATTGTACCAGTTATTGGCTCCTTTTATACTGGATGTTTGTGTCTCACTAGAGTCACATGAGTATAGTTCTCGTCATAATAATGGATAGCTTACAGCTTTTGTGCTGCAGATGATCTATTTAAAGCCTACAATAAGGGGTTTCCCTGTTTGTCAGTGTGGATCTCTGCACAGAAGCAGTTCTGTTTGCTTCATGAGGAGAACAAAGGGTTGCCAGTCCAGTAATGAAAACACATTGCCTGGCACTCATAGTGACCCAGATATAAATAGAACGATTGTAATCCATAAACTGTTTTTATTTCCAGCTCTGTTTTTGTTTGATTCTGGGGTTGAAAATAAAAAACATGAAGTCTCTATTTTCGACTCGTTTTCAAGTATTGCAAAGGTACCATAGAAGTAAATCATCTCCTCTTGCTGTGTCAGATTATATATGACCAACAGTATTCCTCACGTCCCTCCAATGAAATGCCATGACATCAAATAGCCACATCACCTGCTATCCAATCGAAAATCTAACATCCTTCAGGAGCCACGCCCATCACCCATGCTGCATCGTCATGGTGCTCAGTCCGGATGCAGTTGTCATGGAGATTGGGGAGAACTCAGCGTCCACTGGTGGCACTGTTACCATGGAAATCCTCCCGGCTGGAGCAGTCTTGGAGGAGCAGGTTGAACCGGAGGACTCGCAACACAGTGGTAGAGAAGCATTCCGGCACAGAAACTATCGGATGCTGATTGTGATTGGAGAGATTCCAACAGATTATCACCTGGAAGCTGCTCGGAGACAGATTGTACAAGGTGAGCTTGAGGGTTGAAGCTCTCGATCAGTCTAGCTTCATAAAAAGCAAATCTATTGAAAACAGTTTTATTCTAAGTGATATCAGTCTCTTGATCCTACCTCAAGTTGTCATTAAAGTTCAGAAAAAAAAATTAGAGATATCCTTTATTTTCCCTTATTCAGGATATTCAGGTGTAACTGTAGCAAAGTGACAAGAAATTTGAAGGAAGCAGAAAAAAAACAAAGATTAAAATATAAAAACTTACTTCTAAGGAGAAAGAGTGAGCTGATTCTGCACACATTAAAGCAACAGTCTGCAGTAATCTGGGATAAATAAAAGCATAAGTTGTAATTGTGTTGAGACTTTCTCTATTATGAAATGTTGTGGCTTTTGATCTTAAAGTGAATATTTTATCAGGTAACAGGCACAAACCTGTATGCATTTGACAAAAACCCGAAAAGTTTTGTATCCTGCCCCCTTTAACTCAATACTGCAAAATCATCAGCCTCAGTCGGACTGGATAAAGAGCATCTCTGGACATAAATCGTCATATCATATCAAAGTCTAGTGGCCAATACATAAAATTGGCCACTAGACTTTGACTAAACAGTTATAAAACTAATACGGTAAGCTTTAATCTAAGCCAGTGTCTCCCAATTTTTTTCTGCTTCCAACCCAAAAACAGCTGCAGACGAAAAGACATGTGATCCTGTCATAAAAATGCACATTAGAGTAGTTTTTTGCCCCTTGAAGGTCCAAGGTTTTGAATACCAGCCTGGGCTCTTCCCTCCACATGCTTACTGTGTCACTTCTAGAGGTAATTCTTATTTTTATTCTCTGCTCCTCTATAAAAGCCAGATTTGTGAGATGTGCTGTAGCTCACCAAAATTGCCATGTGCCTTTTGGTGGTTTTAAGAACGCATGAAAAGCTCTGCATGATGCAGTCCTGGAGTTAATCTGCATCTTTGTTTCATGACCAGGCTTTAAAACGTATTATTTATTTCTTTTTTTTTCAGTTTTAGGTCAGGAAAATTAAAGAATGTCACAGTTAGTAAATTTCAGCGGCACATTTTACGAGGAGAGGAGAGGAGTTTTTTTTTTTAGAATGTTAGAGCCTAATCAAATATTTGACCTGTCCTCAGGACAAATCTCAAAACATAATTTTTGTGTTAAACAGATAAAGAATCTTACTCCAGAGAAAAATATCTAAACTAAGTACAGATAATATTGTTTTCCATCTCATGGGAAGCAAAAAAAGAATCCTGTTTCTCGATCGTTTTTTAATGATTTCTTTTCTTAATATCAGGTTTGCTTTCCTGGAATGTTGATCTGTCCGTTTGTGACCTGAATAAGGAGCTGCAGCTTTTTAAGACCAGACACACCGCTCAGTTTTCTCCTCAAGTCAAAGGTCAGACTCAGTTCATCGATTTTTTTTTTTTTTTTTTACAGAAGCCAGTATGTCAGCAGTATTTTTATGGTGTGCAAAGCTGTGCATGTTGACTGTTACTGTGGATCAATGTAGACCAGAATCTGCAACTCCAGAGTTAAAAAAAAAAGCCTGTTTGGTTCTTTTACAATGGCAAAAAAAACCCCCAAAAACATTTGCTGTTGTGAAATATATACATGATAACATATGCAAGTTATAGGATTTTTTCTTTGGGGGACAATTTCATTGAATCCTCGTGACAAAATTACACTAAAATACTATTAATTTTTTACGGGGCAAGTTTTTCTAGTATATATATCTATATATATATATATATATATAGATATATATATATATTTATTTTTTTTTTTATTTATTTTTTTTTTTATTTATTTATATATTTTTCTAGTATATATATATTAATTCTATACAAATATCAAGACTATATTTTCCACATATTTATATATCCATATTCTGTATGTTTTTCTTTATTTAAAAATCCACAAATATGTGGATAATTATCAGAGTCAAGACCCTTAACCCCCATACTGCTCACACAATGGCAGCCCACTGCTCCCAAAGGGGAAAGGTTAAATGCAGAGGTACATTTCCGCAATGTGAGATCAATAATGTTCAATTACTTTATATTAATTATCATTAGATTCTCAGCCTAGATGGACAGAAAATAGCCGAAGCTTTGCTTGAAACACACTTTTGTTGCTTTGCATCTCCTGCCCTGTTCACATGCTCCGAAGGAAATCAGGATACATTTCAGCTGGTATTGATCCAGCTCTCATGTGCAGACGTTCTCTCTGAGGGAGAGCCAATGAGGGCAGAAGGTAAAACTGATTGACTGGATGGAGCAGTAAGATCACGACCTAACTGTTTTTATCTGGCAATATGGCTGCTCATCATTTAGTAACTCTACTCTTATGTCAGTAACATACCAAAATATACAAAACTCTCAACCCTCATTTTTGTCTTTATAGTTTCTTATACTTTGTTTTGGTCTTTGAAGCTCTTTCATAGTTTGTCTTTCAAAATTCTTTTGCCTTTTACCTAATTTATGATTTAGTTTGTGATCTTTTTCAGACCTCAAAAAATACACTAACCTTTTCAGCTTCATGACAGAGTATCTGTGAGACTATGTGGAGCATTTAGCAAGGCTAAGGTAAATAAATAAATAATAATAATGTAAATAAAACAAAACAGGCAATAATAAAATTAAAAGATAATTAAAAAAAAAGGATACTAATAAGAATAAGTTTGGAAATATTATAACCAGTTGTAGATTAAGATAAAAACATGCTGTTTGCCTGAAAATTGCTGTGTTTACTAAATATGCCCATTAGATTGTATAAATAATGTAATAGTTTTATTAATAAGTGCCTTGAAAATTTGGGATTTTTTGATAGAATTTATTTCCATATAATAAACAATATTTAAAAGGGGGGGAAAAAAATTCTAGTGTAAGTGTGTCTTTTAATTAATGCTCCTCATTAGAACAAATAAACAAAGAAACCTAATTGTTTCTTTGTAGACAATTAGAAATACAAACATGAATATCACAGTGGAGAAATTAAACAAATAAATATATGTTTTTTTAAAAGTAATAAAGCTAGAAAATGAAATGTAACTTAGTTTAAAATGAAAAGATCGACTTCAGCAACCACCCCCTTTTAAAATCAAAATAGCTTTAGTTTAAATCTGATCGTCACGCAAGCTCTGCCCTTTATGAATAATTCAACTTTTCAAACCAATCATTCCCCTGTGATTAAAACAATAATGATTATCAGCTGTGGCAGCAGAGCCACGTTTTTCTCTTGTTAGCTCTATAATGGCTCCATCAGCGTTTGGGCATCTGAAACTGTCATTTTCCTTTTCCTCTCTTCTCTTTCTGCTGCTTCTTTTCCTGTCAGATTTGGTGCTTTTCATCAGAGCACAGACAGCACCTCGCAGAGCAGATTAGAGATATAAACTGATGAGAGATCTGCTCTGAAATGAAGCCATTTCTCATTTTGGTTTGATGTCTTTGTCCTGCTTTGGGTGGTTTTACATTGAAAGTATAAGAAAATATTTGCCTTTGCTCATTTCAGAAAGTTGAACTCACATAGTATATAGCATCAGGACACATAATATATTTCATTCGTATTTCTTGTCATTTTTATAATCACTGTTTAGTGCACATTTTGAGAGACAGTTTGAGAGATAAAACTGTGTTGGCAATGACTCATAAGCAATTTTCTATTTACAGAATATAACCTGTATACTTTTATTATTGATGTCATGTGTTACTTTGGGTGTTTTTTAGTAAACTATTGCGTTGTGTATAATGTATAATGGAGGTTGTTCGCAAATTTTTTAAAAGCTCACTCCATTAAAAAAATAAGAATAAAAAATGCACAACCCTCTAGCCGATCCTGGGAGGGAAAGACTATTAAACGTGTGCGAGAGCATGCAGAAGCCCATCGCTCCTTGTGCAGGCTCTGTTTAAAAGTTGCTGTTTGCATCGCTCAAACAAGCTTACTTTCCAAAAGGAGATTTGCAATTTTTCCACTATGTCAGACACTCCACCTGTAAGTGAAAATAGGGACTAGCATGTTGGAAGGCCTTACGTAAACATATCACCAGACTGATTGACACTAGGAGGACCACTTATTTTGATGATCCACCCACGAAAAGAACATCCCTCACTATACCTCTAAGATTAAGCACAGATGCATTTTCATTTGTTTTTTGTTTTTTGTCTGTCTTACTTTATTTGTGTATGATCTTCTTCCCACCATACTATAAAGCCCTCCAAAAGTCTGGTTTATTGATTAGGCTGCTCTAGCATCTTGAAAATGTTCTTTTCTATTGTAGATTTTCTGCAGTGTTAAAGAACGTTGTTTCTATTATAATCAGATTAGATACAGCTTTCAGACAGATGTCTTTACATTTGTCTAGAGCACTCTGGTGTACAGAGTATTCATTATTCTCTTTCACAAAAATTCACATCATGTCGCCACCTATGATCTCCCTCCGGCCAATCATTAATCTGATGGAAAAGGCAACGTCCAGCCTGGTTCTGCAAAATAGTGCCAGTAGTGTAGGATGACTGGAAGGGACTGACTGTCACTGAGCAAACACATCTGATTTGATTTCTGTCTCAGGTCTTCTTACTCATTTAGTCAGAAACGATATTGGAGTCTTGTTTACTGTTTTAAATTCTGTGGCTAAATTGAAATCCTTTAGAAGATGAAAATATGTCTTTCAGCATTTACAGGCTGTGCATTGCTGGAAGGAGACAATTTTCTGATTTCTTCTGCTTAGCCTTGCTCTTATTTATATCAGTTGTTTGAGGTGAAGTAACTAAAGAAAAGTGTTGATAAGTTTTTGACATATGTATACTCTGGATGTCAGAATAGATGAGCTAAGATAACACATCTAATAGTGGTGCATGCCAGCTGTAAAAGGTCATGTTGGAGAACCAATCATATCCTGGCAGGAAAAACTATCAGGCCGTGCTTTTAAACTGAAGGTCAATTTTTCAGAGCTGCTCTGATGTGGCTCCACTTACTTTCACTGATGCTCAGAGAGAGGTTCAAAAACTCCCCCATCATTTGTATTTACTTTTCAAGAACCTGTCTCTATCAGCCACCACAGACTGGTTTCACTGCCCGTCACACTCCGGCTCCTCGTTGCCTGTGCCTTGAATACTAATGCAGTGGCTGGTGGGTGTGTGCTCAGCCATCATGCCTGGCATAGCCAGACACAAAGAACACAAAGGAAATCTATTCCTTCCAAAAAGGATGGTCTGTCATTTGTTGGTTGTTTAAAATTTTTTTTTTATACATATGTTGGCTGATGAGTTTAGCTAATTTCTCACTAATTTTATCAATTTATTGAATACAAAGAAACATGCCCTTAATGGTGCAAGAAAGTGCATGGAAACTGCACTACAATTTTGACTGTCCAACATTACTGTTTATCCATTCATTTATTAATATATTTATTATTTTGTTAATTCATCATTTAAATAAAAAACTAACAAATAGGTGATAGGTTAATACTTTCATTTACATTCATAAAATTAAAAATTTACACATTTAAGCAAATTAATATCATAACTTTAATATGCTAATATTTGCTTAAAAACTCAGAATTGTATTTTATGAAATTATATAGAATTATATACCGGTATTTGAACTATATTTATATAATTCATTTATTGTTTACATTTTTTTATGTATGCTCTGACTGTAGTTACAGTAATATTAATCAAAAGTTGTAAAGAATACAAAAGTGCCCTTTTAAAGAAGTATTATGAGAGCCAAAAATTTTATAAGTGTAATATTTTCCTTGTTAGTCAATAGGAGATTCTGTTGCTGAAATAAAAGCTGAATTTATACTAAGCCTTTTCACTCATCTAATGTTTCATGAGAAGGTGCCAATTTATGAGGAGTGCACTGCAGTTACGGTGTTAAAACATTACACCTCTAAATATATTTTAATCAGACAAAAACCCAGCAGACAATCAAACAATGAAACTGTGAGAGAAATGCTGCAGAAGGATGAACAATGTGTTAAATTATCAACCCAAATTGTGATGAATTATTGTCAGATGAAAACTGTTAGATTAAAATAAAAAATTCAAAGAGAAGAATTTGAACTATTCCCTAAGCAAATGGGTTTTATTCTGTCCATTAAACTCTTTTGTGTGTCTCATTGTTTAAAGAGAAAGAGAAAGGCAGCTTTTATCAGTTCAAGTTAATCACATTTTTGTCTAAAGCTTTTGGGTGTTTCATGAATTTAGATACAACTTGCATTTACAAATGAGAAGAAAAGATTGTGAAATAGAATCTGATACTATTTAATGACGACTAGAAAAAAGAGAGGTAATCTGACAAGTACTCTGATCTTTGTTTTTTTTTTGAGATAGGAAATGTAAGAAAAAAATAGATTGGGTCCATGTTATTCTGTCCTGAATGTACAAAATTTTT